CAGAATATCATGAAGGATCAACAGTAAAGGAAGCCAGGATAGCTGTTCGTAAAAGACCCTGCGAAGATTGAGAAAGATAGCTCCAATTAACAGCCGCAGAGGACGTAAGTGCGCCTAACTTTGGAAAATCTACCGTACTTTCTACCGAACTGATCACTTACCAGTGATGATTTGCCCAATATGCCCACATTAACTGCATAAACTGATCTGTAAATGTCGGTTTAATTTGAAATTGAGCATTGAAAAGCTTATCCCAATACATAACCTCTTAAACCAGGTTATACCTTCTAAACCTTTTAAACCCGGATTATATGCAAAATCTATCTTTCTTACATGTGAGCACGAGTTAATTTACAGACTATTACAAGTCAGTTTTGTATTAAAATGTTCATGTTGCTTTGATCTTCACTGTTTCATTATATGCTTCAAAAGCTCAAAGTTAGTTTAGTCGTGTGAAAAGAATTAATTCCTCCACCACGCCTTGAAAGGTATTCACGCTGACATGATTCGTGATGTAATGGTTAGCGTGAATACCTTTCAAGAAGTGGTGGAGGAATTCACTTTACACGACTAAACTGTCTTTGAGTTTTTGGAGCATAAAAAGTAATTGTAAAGATCAAAGCAACGCTGCTTTGGCTCCATGTTATATGTATTTTTATGCTGTTATAGTGTGCTACCTTCCAGTAAAGAATGTACAAGCTTTGCATTCTGTTTCAGAATCATAATGGGACAGAACCAGCCAAAGATAGAGTGTAAAGCAGGAATCTTACATGAAGTGGTCTGAAAAATTGTCTGCAGTTTTATTAAAGTTCCAATATCAAGCTCTTTCACTGTCTATACACTATCATCAGCTATTATAGTTAAAGTTCCTTTATGTTGTTTTGAAAAGCTCTACAACTCATGAAAGTAGCATTTATTTTGTCATGAGCATGTATGCGAAGTGACCTGCAAAAATCGCGCCACTAGACCGCAGATGGTACGGTACGCTAATCCTAGATGCTTTCTATTTTTAAAAAGTTTTGATTTTTGCCCGATATCGTACGCGCTCGTCAATGCTATTTGATATCATTCAACCTAAAATAACAAGCAGAGGCCACTTTATTGCGGAGATATTTCGACCAGACAATTCGTGTTGTTGTTCAGGGTCAAGGTTGACCTCTTGAGCTTTTCAAAACTCATTGTTAGATGCAAACACGAGGAGATTTTTACATCAGATCCTGGACAGGCACGCAGCTGATTGAACCCCAAAGGTATTCTTACTAAGGAAATGTAATGAAATTCCCAACTCCACAATTCATTTGAGCTCATGAACAGACTTCCTATTGAGGATGAAGAAACAGGAAGTAATTTTGGAGAAAAAACAAACCGAGTTAACCAACAGCTAGCTCGGAACATGTCGAATGAAATGCACATTGCCCTTCCTGCTCTTTTGCTCACCGCACAGCAAGTTATTCTCGGCGGGAGATTGGATTCTTGGCCGATTTCCAATTACATCTTGATTCAGGGAAATTACCGTAGCCGCGGCGGAGTACAACGCCGCAAATCGCAAACTCGTCCCTGTCCGTAGTTCAGTTTTCTGCAAACGCGACGCAAGGTCCTTATCAGGCAAAGCTAACTTTGCGATTGAATTAATTCGGGATCTATTAGTGCTGAAGGAAAACAAGATTGCAGAGGAAAAAGTGATTGTTTCTTGAGCTTTTTGAAGAGATGAACGAGGCTCCTACGCCGAAAATATTCCTTTTCGAGTAGCCGGAAAACGCATGGGCGCGACCTCGTTGCGGCAGTTCGTGTGCGAGTTCTCACAAGCAGCGTTAGGTTGAATCATTTTCGCTCATTTTTTGCCAGTTGCGTTGTGGTTTGTAATGTTTGTAGTTTTTTAAGCACTTTGTTTTATATCACCATCTAAGATATCAGTTTCTAGGGAACTTTCTAAGACAGTATCCTAAACTTTGAAGGGTTGCTAGTTGAGTAAGCTGTGCTTTCGGGTCAAGGTGTGGTATTCTGGAATTAGCGTGAAGCCTCCAGCTGAGTTTTCCTCCAAACTTCTCTTTTTTCAAAATCTTGTTAATAAGTGGAAACAGTGTTGCGGGTATCTCATTATCGGAAACCCTGGGAAGAAAGGCCTAACATTTTCTATAGAATGAATTTCTGATCTACTAAATATCTTTATCACTAGGCTGGCAGAAAAGCAGTATAAATGATTAGCAGGGAGGTGTGTGTACTACAAAGAGATTTTAGTTAGCATAGAGCAGTTACTGGTACTCTTTGCTTTTTGAATCATGCGCTGACGTGGAGGAGATGAAGAAGAGACATTTAAGAGAACAGTTTAGCATAATCAGGGATACTTATGGTCATCTGCGTCTTGATTATTAGGCTTCAGAGACACGGATGCTTTGATTTTTATATGTGCCACCAGCGTTATCTCTTTGTCTATCTTCGTGCAATACGTGTAGACTAATCTCCATATAGTTTTGATTTCGATTGTAAAGAAAGTTTCTAATATTGTTATTTCAAAAATACTGCGGAAGTGGTCGATACAAAATGCTGCTCATTGCGCAACTGCAAGCAGCAAATCAAACCACATAAATCCTTCATTGGTATAGCAAGCTTTGGCCCCACCAGTTCCACGAGTTCACGGTTCTGTTTCTCAGTGTGGAAAATACTCATTCATTTCATCGCGACATTCTTCACTCCGCGAATTTTTGCCGCTTTCCTTTTGTCTATGCTTCTTGACCACAGTCATGTTTTAGACGAGCTTCTCATCCGTTGGTAAACGAAGCGGACTACAATGTCGGCTCCACCACCTGCCGCCGGTGTCGAGGACTCTGCCGATCGAAATGTTGAAATGTGGAAGATCAAGCGACTTATCAAAAGTTTGGAACTTGCTCGAGGGTATATCACAAATTTCTGATTTTTCTTTTTGAATTTGTAGAAAATACTATGTCATTTCAAGTTAGTTTTATTTGTCAGAAATGGTACTTCCATGATTTCGCTGATTATCCCTCCTCGTGACCAGATTGCGCGAGTTCAAAAAATGCTTGCTGATGAGTATGGAACTGCTTCTAACATCAAGTCGCGAGTGAATCGTTTGTCCGTGCTTGGTGCTATCACCTCCGTACAGGGACGATTGAAGCTATATAGCAAAGGTTACTTTTTCATGATTTTAGTGGGATTTGGGTTCTGCTCACAGGCTGAAAACCTGTGAGTATTGTCATTTGAAGAACATGATTTCTATTCATTCCTATCATTTTTTCAACGGGTAATGGCTTTAACCATTTTCAAATGAAATGTGGCGAAACTTCGGTTTTGCTCATTCTCATTAAGCTTCAATTTGGAATTACTTATTGCAGTTCCTCCAAATGGTCTTGTTGTATATTGTGGCACTATTGTTACTGATGAAGGAAAAGAAAAGAAAGTCAACATCGACTTTGAACCCTTTAAACCCATCAATACATCTCTGTATCTCTGTGACAATAAATTTCACACGGAAGCGCTCCAAGGTTTGTCAGCTTTTCATTTATTTTAAACCTATAGTACTCGAAATATGAGTGGCTTAGAAGAACAAGTGGTGAAAACCAGCAGCAGCGATGTAAATTCCTTCTACTTCTCGAAAGTTCTAGATTCGAACATTACCTACAACTGCATTGGGATTACTAGGATACGAAGTTGATA